CTCCTTGTGGTTCGACCCCGATCTTGCTAGGTTATTTATTACTTTGACACTCTTGCACTTGGGAAAAGACATCAATTTTTTAGTCGTGTCACTGGTTCTATTAGAAGCGATGTTCAGGTTGTACTTATATTGTTTGACAAAACCATCCACCATATCTTTCCATCTCTGGATTTTTGTGTTGTCTAATCTCATATACCAACTCAAAGTTGCTCCACTTAAGCTGTCTTCAAAAAAATGCATTAGTAGTTTTCCATTATGTATTACTTCTGCCATTTTATTATAGTAGGACTTGAGATGAGTCATAGGGCATTGTGTTCCATTGTATTTGATAAACTCAGGAACAAGGAATTTCTTAGGTTCAACTACATTGGGGACCAAACACATCTCTGCTACCCGCACCGGGTCATATAAATCTACCCCTTCAATGACTTTGAGTCTGGCTTCTAGCGCCTCTATCTTAGCTTGATCGATGCTATCAGATGACTTAGCCTTGTGGGACTCATTAGTCGATGCCGTTATGACTCAATTTGTAATTTGTTCAATCAAGTCCTAAATTGCAATTTTGATTAAAAATCAATGCAATTGCATCCCTAACAAAAAATCAACAGCGGCCCTATAGTTGGCCACCTTTTTCACTTTAGTCCTTAGTATTGATATTATGCAAGTTGAGCCTTAATTGAGTAATAAACTTCTAATTTCTTCAATTGGGCCCCTGACCGGTTTGTAAAGCTTGTAAGGTCAATACTGATTCGTGCATGTTTTAGGGAACACATATGTGCCTCTCCATCTCTTCTATCTTGGTGAAATCATAGTCATAACTCAAAGCTATGCTTAATCCGTCTTCACAATCAAAATCACGAACTTGCTGCACACACTTATCAATTTGGTCATAGCATGTGATAGAATAAACATTGCTATAAGGATATTTCATTGCATCATGAAAATTGAATTCAATTTTTTCATCTCCTACCTCCATAGACAAGGTATCCTTACCACAATCAATCTTTGTGTTGGCAGTTTTCAAGAATGGTCTTCCAAACAATATAGGAGTGCTGGTTGATGAATCACAAGAATCATGTTCCATATCAAGAATATAAAAGTCACATGGAATAACCAAAGTATCAATCTTGACTAGGACATCCTCTATCACACCAAGTGGGTAAACAAAACTACGATCTGCAAGTTGTATTACAATGCTAGTTTTATTCAAAGGTTCCAGACTAAGAGAATCATAAACATGTTTGGGCATAACACTAATGGATGCACCTAAATCACATAAAGCTCTTTTAAAACTAGCATTACCAATAACACATGGGATAGTAAACGCACCTGGGTCTTTTTGCTTTAAAGGCATATTCTTTTGAACAATAGCAGACACAACTTCACCCATACTTACCATTTCATGACCTTTCAATTTGAAAGCTCTCTTGGTAGTACACAACTCCTTCAAAAATTTGGCATACTTGGGAATTTTGCCTTAATTGCCTTGTTGGAATGGGTTTCCATATCGTAAGTTGAGATGATCTCTCCATCCGGGATTGTACGTGTTGGAAAAGGGATCATATTTACG